GTCAATTGTGTATTTAAGTCTGATTAAATTTGAACTCCGGATGGATTATGGCTATCATATCGAGCATGAAAATAATGATTAAAAGCATGACAAGTTGTCCAAAGAAGCATGAAATTAGGTATTTCATCATTAAAAATCAGGTAAATGAAAAATAACAGTTTTTACAGATTAAATTCAGATGTCATTTAAACACAATTAGTAGATCAAATCAAAATCTGTATGAAATCACTATTTAAAAATCTCAAAATCAATATGTTTCAAAATAGGTCATTATCAAAAGCAAATGCAGTATTCAAAGAATGAAAAAGAAAATAATTTACTTACCAGCAAGTTATTATTGTTTATTGACAAGTTGAATCCAACAGAATCTGGACCACGACACTGTTTCCTGATGTTTTAAATGTCAGCATGTAATAGTTGTAACTCAGGGATCAGATATAGAACAATAAATAGTGAATACTAATAGTAATTGACAGAACAAGTTTACAGAACACTGGCTAACATCACTGTACATGACATGATTGGAAAAAGTTCTGTTTCTTCAATAAGACTATTTAACTGTTTATTACAAGTAATGAGTTTAAACAGATAGTTAAATAGAAATTACTGTTCTTTAACAGTTTACTACACGCAAAAAACTAATTCTCCTTTCACCTTCATTATTCTCTTGTAAACTTTCCTTTCTTTTAACTTTTCACAGAAAATTCTGTCAATTTAAAATATTTTATCCTCAAAAAACTTTTAAAGTTTCAAACATTTATTATTTCTTGAATTTTATACTCAGTTCACATGAATCACTGACTTTTTTTTAACAAACTTTCACTTCAATTCAATGTATAATTAAAAAAAAAAACATGATTTACAGATGAAGGTAAAAAAAAATTACATCTAATTGAAGTGCTCCTTAACTTCAATAGAAAATTTATCAAACTGTCACAGCCAATGACCACTGTTGTTCTAATAACTGTCTTGAAGTTTCACATTGACAGCTCAGAGAGTTTATACCAAGATGACCACTAGAACTGACCATTTGACAACAATGATTCCACAGATTAGAGATAAAGTGTGTAAGAGATATAGATGTGTTAGAATGAAGCAGCTAGTTATATGCTGATTGGTTAAGAAGATAAGGGTGAGAATTCAGAGGTAGAAAACTCAATCAATAGCTTTCAAGTCACTAGGCTTTTATTCTAGTCGGATTATATCTACCACAAAAAACCAATCAAATTTCAGTATGTTAAATGAGTGACAGGTAATCAAAGTGGCAAGTTATCGATACACAGTTTGACTACAGTATCTGTGCAGGGCTATAGATTTAGCTCTATTAGGCAGTCATATCTGGTAAGAATGTCATAATACCTGTATGTGATGCTTAGGACATTTCTTAATCAGTTTTTGAAGAATTTTCACACATTTGTACTGCTCATAGGTATTAGAGTTTATTCCATAGCATGTCTTACAGCAAATATTCTGTGCCTTTGCCTTGTATTAGATATACATATAAGTCAACTTAACATGGATTGATGTCTTACAACAAATATTCTATATTAACATCATTACATTAGACATACATGCAAGTCATCTTAACATTGACTGATGTCTTGGAGTTTATATTCTATATTAACATCATTACATTAGACATACATGTAAGTCATCTGAACATGGACTAATGTCTTCTAGCAAATATTCTATATTAACATCATTACATTAGACATTCATGCAAGTCATCTTAACATGGACTAATGTCTTATAGTTTATATTCTATATCATTACATTAGACATACATGTAAGTCATCTTAACATGGACTGATGTCTTGTAGTTTATATTCTATATTAACATCATTACATTAGACATACATGTAAGTCATCTTAACACGGACTGATGTCTTATAGTTTATATTCTATATCATTACATTAGACATACATGTAAGTCATCTTAACATGGACTAGTGTCTTATAGTTTATATTCTATATCATTACATTAGACATACATGTAAGTCATCTTAACATGGACTAATGTCTTCTAGCAAATATTCTATATTAACATCATTACATTAGACATACATGCAAGTCATCTTAACATGGACTGATGTCTTGCAGTTTATATTCTATATTAACATCATTACATTAGACATACATGTAAGTCATCTTAACATGGACTAATGTCTTCTAGCAAATATTCTATATTAACATCATTACATTAGACATACATGTAAGTCATCTTAACATCGACTGATGTCTTGTAGCAAATATTCTATATCAACATCATTACATTAGACATACATGTAAGTCATCTTAACATGGACTGATGTCTTCTAGCAAATATTCTATATTAACATCATTACATTAGACATACATGTAAGTCATCTTAACATGGACTAATGTCTTGTAGTTTATATTCTATATCATTACATTAGACATACATGTAAGTCATCTTAACATGGACTAATGTCTTGTAGTTTATATTCTATATTAACATTACATTAGACAAACATGCAAGTCATCTTAACATGGACTGATGTCTTGTAGCAAATACTCTATATTAACACTCTTACATAGGCTACCTATTCAATATCTTTATATTATACTATATGATATAGTACTGTTTATTAGTAATAGAACTGAAACTGGTCTACACTCAAGTGATGTTACACTTATTAACCCACCATGTAATGTATATTAATTAATATTCCAATAAAATTTATAACATGGTATAAACTGTATAAGTAATGATGCATGACAATTTATGTCCTTTTAGTTCAAGCCAAGGGTAGATAATTTTTCAATTTCTGATTGTCTATGAATGGTGTGTGGCATCTGGAACCTTATAGTATAGTTCCATTATCAAAAGGCAAATTTCATTAGGGTAATTTTATTGATGTGGAAGTAGTCACAAGTAAAGAAGGGCATGCATTCTCTTGTCATTCTGTTATTGGGTTTGATAATTTGGTATAGGCATATTTTTGGAGAGTCTAAATAGTTAACATTCTCTATTTGAAATATCTATATACAAAAACCTCTCTTCAATCTTAAGATCAAGTTTTCTTATTTCAATGTCTATCGATTACAGAACATAATTTATTGTGTGTTTTATCTATTTTCTACTCAGCACACACCATGTAAAACAGTTTGAAATCAAAATTGGGTAATAAATTTAGATATAATTTTGGCTTCATTTTAACTGAAATTCGTTATTTCAAATATGTAAAGTTAGATACAGGCAGTATACATTTGATGACCAAACCATTAATCAATATCAAATACAAATTTGAGCAAGAAATAATAACCATGAAGTTGTATATTAATATTAGAGAAGATCTTATAATAAAACTATAGTACAGAAAGACCTTTCACTTTCATTTTCACTACATCTTCCCCATGAACATGAAAAACAAAACAAGTCAGATATGTCAACATGAAAAATTCCCTTTTCTAAGAATAATGTTCATCCTCTTTGTGATGCAAAAGAGTTATGTCCCCTTCAATTTTGCCATTATTGGGAAATGGTGATGTATGGTCTGCAAAGGGAGGTCTTTAATGAAGAGCATGTGGGATAGTGAAAGCAACTGTTAAATGTGATAAACATCATACACTGTTGCTAAAGGAACATGGTGCTACCACATCTTTCTGAGATTGTCTTAGTCTATATGGACACTTTTTTGTCACAGCCAGAATAGTAGAAATTAGTTAACATCTTTTGATTTCCTTGACTCATGCAAGTCACATGTTAATTTTGGCAATAAGATAGCTATCGAAGATTGTCTTAGACCATAAGGACACTTTTCTGTTACGTTTGGCACTAAGCTGATGCTAGCACCTTTTTCTGACAAGTTCAAATCCATGGAGATTTCTAGTCTGCCGATTTTAACAATTAGTTGAAGACATGGAAGAATCTACCTAATGATATATTACCTCTGAAAACATATTGTCATAAATAAAATAAACTGATTCTCGGGAGATACATAATAATGAGTTGATAAAAGAAAGAAATTGTTTTTTTTATTATTATTATAAGATTAGAGTATATTTCATTATTAAACCTTTAACCTGCAAGAAAGTTAATCATTGAACTTAATGAGAATATCAGTAGTTTCAGACAGATATCACACAAAAAACTTTATATGCTATTGAATTTTTCATTCAGTCTGCTGTCATTGACGTTTTTATGACTGAGCATACGTCACTTAATAAAGATTTAAAAAAATCAATTTTAGCTATGTTAACAATCTTACAAGTTGACAATATCTTTCAAAAGAATGAGCATATCCTTCAAAATTATTAGTAATTATGACTTCTGTTTTCTGAAGCTATGACTAATGCTTTTGAGAATGACGGTGTGGCGCCAGACAGGGTATGTTTACTCTTTCCATTATCTGCTTATGATTGATAATACTTCCTCATATAAAAAGTTCATTAGCTACTGCCAATGTTTCGGGTTTGTTTTCCAGTTTGGATCGTTAGTACATGTACTTGGTTTAATTCTCCTGATGTTGGTTATGACATAGCTTTGAATTTCTTAGAATCATCAGACCATGGTCCATCATTTTCAATGTTTACAGATGTCAAGTTTGGCTACTCATTGCGCTTTCTAGAATTAGTTTCTGACATTGGGATAGCTTGTAATTACATATTCAGAATTGATAGGTCTGTTGGTAGATGAACCTTTTCCATTTGGAAGATAGATAAACAGAACAATGGTTTTAGCAGACAAGCTGAACATTGAATTTTCTTTTTAGAAAGGATTCTGCTTTGTTAATTCATAGTGAACATGTAAATATCTAGAGAGCTAGATAATGACACACCATTTCCAAATCTTTACCAGCTTTAATGTCCTTGGACATATTCCAAATTGTCATTGTGCTCTACCCTTTCTTAGAAGTAGGAACCCTGCTTGAGAAAAATCCTCAGGTTTTTTCTACTACTTTGGTACTATAATATATATATTTACACAGACTACTTGAAATGAATCAAATAACATCAAAATAAAACTTTCTTGCCAAATGTCATCTGATAATACATTGATTGAAAACAATGAAAAACATCTTGAAGATGAAAAGAAACAGAACGTTATTGGTAAATGTTGAAATCTCCTGACATGATGGCTTCATCATCAACTTTGATATTCAAAATATAAAAGAAAGTGAACAGTTTTTTTTATTAAGTATTGTGTGAACAGAAATCAATGCAAAGACAATTTTAAGTAGATTTATCTCATTTATAAACAAAAGTCTGTTATTAGTCACCCTGGCAACACAAAATAATCAAATCTGAAGCATCACACACTTGACCTGCTTAGGAACAATTCAGTCATTGTTGAGTTCAATGGTTGAAGAAATTAGACAACCCTTTAATGTCCTATAAAAGATTTAGAAATGTCAAAACTTTAATATCATAAAGAAAGACAAAAGATATTTTCCAGATTAAGGTCTTACCTAGACTGGCAATAACAGTGTAGCTCTGTTGTAGTCTGTGATACTGTGTGCACAAAACCCTCAGGGCATGAATTTTACTGAGTCAATTATGAACATTGCAAGATTTTGCTTTAGATTATATTGAAGGGAACTATGGTAACTTAAGAGTGGTCTCTAGCCCTGCATTACAGATCTCTTCAGAACATGACAATCAAAAATATGAAAGTTTTGATATAATTTCTTTCATTTTTGTTTCAGAATATGATGTTTCAATTCAGATTTCATTTTCAATAAAATGTGTAAAGAAATAAAAGAACATGGACTGTTTTTTTTATGATGCAGTTCAGATCATGACAGTTGAGAACAGGATAGCTCTTGTTTCTTCTCAATTGAGAATCTCTATTATTTATTACAGTACCATCAAGCATAATTTTGAAAAAATTTCTATTACAATTGAAAATTTCTATTGAAAGAAAAAGCCTCCAAATATTGATAATTTTTATTTTTTGGATGCATTAAAGGAGAAACCTGAGTTGACAAACGTAATCGCAGTATGATATTGTGTAGTGTTTGTAATGTCTTTATCTTGCACATGGTTTATGTAGACCAATATATCATTAAACATCCCACCTTTATGCCAAGCTATAAAATATTTAATAGGTTTTCACAACCCACTCCATGTAAGCTTGCTTTATTCTGACATTAAGAAACACTAAACTATTATTAAGTACATAACGTGTATAATTTCAGTAAGGATTTCCAGTATTCATCCATTTTCAGACAACCATGAAAAGATGTTATCTGGGTAAGTAAGTCTGATTGACTATCTTTATATGTCAAATTGTCTGAAGATTTTCCTTGCCTATCTGATATTCCAATTAATTCTAATAACATACTATGTACCAAGTGATACACACCAACAAAAAAGCTTCAAATAAGAATTAAATATCTCTTTTTCTGTGATTATCTTAAAAGAATTGCCTACAATACTTACCTGATGAAGACAAAAACAGAATTGAGTCAAAGGTTAAAAGGAAAGTGGTTCAATATTCAGCATTGGGAATTGCAAATAGCAAAAGACATGCCAGCTCTTTTTTGGGGATTTGCAACATAAACACATAATGTGAGAAAGGTTGTAACTTAACTCTTTTAGAATTACAAAAAACCATCCATCTCATTATTTGGAAACCATATTTTGAAGTCTATTGTAATCCATAATAGCAAATAATGGGTTAATGTCTTATGAATTGTAATTAAGGATTTTGTATTATAACATGCTAGCTTTGGATTCACAATTCCAACTTAAAGTATTTTTGGATTTGTAAACAATTACTATTTCAGCTTGCTATTCCAGATTTAAATCTTAGCTTTCAAATCCAGTATGACAATCCCACTTGATATTCATTCTCAGGGATTCTTTTGAATTTAAAACCAGTTTGTTACAATCCAGAACTGGCGTTTTTGTTCTGTTTTAAAGCAACAAAAGCTGTCATTGTTGAATTTAACTAAAAGCTTAGATTTACCACTTAAACTGGGTCAGTGGTATAAGACATTCAATAAGACATTCTATTCCTGAATCACTTTTTCAACTTCAACACTTAATAATGATTTTGCTTGGTATTGCTGTCTTTTGAAACCACAAATTACAAGTCATTTAATTCAGATATATTAGGGATTCAAAAATATGCCAATATATGCTGGCTTGCTTGCTATTTGTGTTTGTGTTTTGTGATTTCATTCCAAATATTTTTAGGGTTCAATGTCTTTTGAATCTCATCTAATAAATAACAATCTGTTTTCTTATTGGAGATTAAGAAAGAACCAAGATATTTACAACAAATAACAAACTGGTCCATTATTCAAGTTTGAAGGGCATTAATATTTGATTCATGAATAACATAATTATAAAGAGCCACTTTGTTATTTGTTACAAAGCTATGATGAATTCCACACTCATCCACACTCATCGATTGTTTTTAGGGAATCAGGACAACTCGGACAAAAACAAACTCGGACAAATGCAAACTCAGTCCACTTTTTTTAAAAGTTTGAAACAATTATTAACTACTATTTGCTCTAACCTTACTTTTCAGCCAACTTCTTTTTTTGACTCAGCCCAAAAAATGATTAATTTTCACACAGTACATGTGGAACTGGTATATTCTGTCACCAATACCGAAGGATTTAACAGATGTACCATTCCAGTGTTTAACAGATGTACCATTCCAGTGTAACGCTTGTACAATACCTCTTCCTTAAGCTGAGACTACCAGAATAAACAGCCGTTTTCAGGGCCACCAAGAGTGATTAAGTCTTTCAACTACATTTTTATATTCAAATAAGTTCATTTCAATTTGTTAACAAAATATGAGTGGTCCCAATTTGCAAAGTCATTGGCCCGAGTCTAACAAAAGAAAAAGTGGTCTTAGTGTGTCGTGAAAAGTGGGCTGAGTTTTTTTCGAGAAAGAAATAACATAATTATAAAGAGCCACTTTGTTATTTGTAAATTTGGATTTCAAGCATTGCTATGGTGAACTCCAAATTGTGAGCTGTTATTTTTTTGAATCTCCAATGAAGAGTAAAGTATCATTTATATATTTATGTGTCAATAACCTTTTGTTATTCGTTTTTTAGGATATAGAGGATGCCAACATACACCCCAAATACTCATGTTAAAAAATATTAATATTTGCTTCCCCAGTTAATCAGGATTCCAATATACATTTATTTCGAACCGTTTAACAGATTGACCGTTTATTTGGGATTTAGAACAATGTTTATGATTTCCAAAACCAAGCAAGATTCACATTGACTGGAATAGTAATAGTATTTTAAATATATTTCGCCCCTAAATAGCTTGCTGATTTGTAGTTCATGATTCAAGAATCCTGAATAGCCAGCTTAAGGTGTGTTATTTCCAAATTGCCAACCCTGAAAAACATAACCACTTAACCCTGCTTAAAGTAAAGACTATTCTCCAAGAATCAAATTTAGATAAGGTTAGGTAAGTCTAGGCCCTTCCAGTTGTCTAGTAATATTTAATCAGCCGAAGTTGTCATAAACTCAAATACAGATTTTGACCAATCAAAATTGAGAACTATTCTTATCTTTTATAGTTACTACTTTTGATGTTAAGTTAGCCTCTATATTGTTATGTTTTGTTTTAGTTATGGCAGTCTATGTATTGATGTGTGTCAGCCTATTTTAGTTATGCCAACCTATGTATTTGGGTGTCAGTTGTATCTTACATCAGTCTGGCCTACTTATTGATGTTTCTTCCTATTTTTGTTATGTATACCTATTTATCGTTATGGGTATCATTCTATTTATTGGGGTGTAAGTCAATATTTATTGGGGTATCATTCTATTTATTGGAGTGTTAGTCAATATTTATTGGGGTATCATTCTATTTATTGGGGTGTAAGTCAATATTTATTGGGGTATCATTCTATTTTTTGGGGTGTTAGTCAATATTTATTGGGATATCATTCTATTTATTGAGGTATCATTCTATTTATTGGGGTATCATTCTATTTATTGGAGTGTTAGTCAATATTTATTGGGGTATCATTCTATTTATTGGGGTATCATTCTATTTATTGGGGTATCATTCTATTTATTGGGGTGTAAGTCAATATTTATTGGGGTATCATTCTATTTATTGGGGTATCATTCTATTTATTGGGGTATCATTCTATTTATTGGGGTGTAAGTCAATATTTATTGGGGTATCATTCTATTTATTGGTGTGTTAGTCAATATTTAATGGGGTATCATTCTATTTTTTGGGATGTTAGTCAATATTTATTGGGGTATCATTCCATTTTTTGGGGTGTTAGTCAATATTTATTGGGGTATCATTCTATCTATTGGGGTGTTAGTCAATATTTAATGGGGTATCATTCTATTTATTGGGGTGTAAATCAATATTTATTGGGGTATCATTCTATTTATTGGGGTATCATTCTATTTATTGGGGTGTAAGTCAATATTTATTGGGGTATCATTCTATTTATTGGGGTGTTAGTCAATATTTATTGGGGTATCATTCTATTTATTGGAGTGTTAGTCAATATTTATTGGGGTATCATTCTATTTATTGGAGTGTTAGTCAATGTTTAATGGGGTATCATTCTATTTATTGAGGTGTAAGTCAATGTTTAATGGGGTATCATTCTATTTATTGGGATATCATTTTATTTATCGGGATATCATTCTATTTATTGGGATATCATTCTATTTATTGGGGTGTTAGTTAATTATTGCTGCTCTATAACTCTATTTATTGATAAATGTCCACTTATAATTATTGTATGTCAGCCTTTCATAAGTAAGGTAGGTTATTTGTTATAAAAGCCTATTTAGTGAATGTCAGTATTGTTATGAATTTATTTAAAAATTTATTGCTGACTAATATTTATTGTTACAGCCAATTTATACCTCTGTCAGCCTATTTATATGTCTGTCATCCTATTTATATCTCTGTCATCCTATTTATATCTCTGTCAGCCTAACAATTTCTGTCAGCCTACTTATCATCATGCCAGCCTAGTGTATTAATACCAACCATGTTGTTGTTCATTAAGCAGGTCACCTACAAGTAATGACATTATTTCTTTACAGGAACTTGCCTGACAGGAGTTATAATAACATCCAAGCAAACCATAACAAAAACATAACAACCATGCAAGAACCACTGGATTTCATGTATTTTGGTACATTAAGTTAATGGAAATACATATTTTCAATAAAAAGGCTTAATGTAATCCTTATAAATCCTTACAATCTTCTGAGATCTGATGAATTTTTAATCAAGTATACAATACTACAAATATATCATTGATTTCCTCAATATTTGTTTAAAAGATATATTCATTTGAAATGATGTTACGCAGGATGATTTATTTAGACTTTGTTTGTCTCTAGCTTTCTAGTAATTTAAGTTGATGATCCACTATAATGTTATTGTGGACTGTTCAATGAACTTATTATCACCACAGTATCTTATCTTCAACTCATTCCAACCCTCTCAAGGACACTTTTGTAAAGCCATTTTATGTGAACAATCATACTAAAAGTCTGCTTTTATCCTTTATATGGACTCGACATTTATCAGCAGGGTCTTATTAGTGAGGCTATATGTCATAATCACAGCTTTGTGACAGTTCCTAAATCTGTGGTACTTAATGAAATCTTGATCTTAGTAGTTTGGTGGTACCCAAGATACTAGTAATAATCTGTTCATGTCATTGGTTTATAGATGTTTTATTTATTAACCGTGTTTGGTGAGAGTGATTGAACTTTTAATTACTTTATTTGCTTTGTTATCCAGATGAGATAGTCATGTTGTCAACATGATCAAATTTCTCTTCATCTCCCCAGGGTAATCATCGTCTAAATAGCCAAATGATAATAGCTAATTTCATTTATTTTCTATTTACACCCTTCCTATTCCCTAAACTTTGATATTATGTAGTGGATTTATTGCATTAAATAAGTATTGTTATTACATTAAGTGTTGTGATATGTTTTCCTGTAAGGTTGATTTAAGATATAAGTGTGGGCTGTGGATTCATAGACTTAAATAATAAATAAGCCAATTTTTTTTCAAAATTTCTGGTTTCAAAAATGACAGATATTTTTGTCAATATAGATAAAATCTGAATTTGACCAAAAATGACCAGTCAAGATTCCTGATTGCATAAAAAGTCTAGAAAACTGGGTCAAGAGAAAAGAGATATAACCAGCATTTGTTATCTGACCAGTTAATTTCTACTGTCTGAGCTAAATGACCATAATAGTTTATTTTATGGTCTAGGTGGTCAGAAAGTAATGAAGAATTAAGCTATAAATTGTTTGAGGTGTCTAAAATGACCAATTACAGGTTTTAATTCCTTAATTCTGCTATCTATTTCAATTGGTAAAACCACCAGAATTTCTTCCACCAGTCCAGCAGATGTCTGTTAGATAGTAGTCGTTAACAAAAGACGAAGGAAGGAAGATAGGATTCCAGCATGACCCTATGCAGGAAGGAAAATAGAATCAAACATGACCTTATTCTGGGCAATAAATTTATATATAATCAAAAACATGACCTGATGCAGGAAGGAAAACAAAAGTCCAACATGACCTTATATGGAACTTCATGGAAACTTGATTTGAGTCTGACCTAGTATATCAAGGAATACGTGACTAGATGAAAGTATATGGATCTTAATCCCTGTATAATCACAAGATTTAATCAGTTTCTTTCTACTATAATGAAATAATGACAATAATGTATGATTATATTCTTTAAGATAACAGAACAATAGCTATCTACATAAGGCTTGTCTTTCATGAAAGGCTACTATAAACATTCTTCTTCTAAATCACAACCACATCTCGAAGGGTCAATTTTTTTCAAAATTAATGGTTTCTTAAACATTTTAAGTAAAAAATCTTAGGACCTTAGGGCATTAACAATAAAACCTGGCATGTAGGCCTAGAGTTTCCATAACCATTTATTCTACACTGACACCAAACAAACACAGGTTTTTTTTTAAAAAATGGTCAGCAAAGGTTCCACATCGCTGGTGAATGTTATGCATACTGTAGTGAAATCATGTAACTACCAATTACTCATCTTGCATTTAAAATGAAGTTTCTCGCATGCAGGAATTACCAACAATAACCAGAAACATGCATACCCATAGTAAGCTGTAGAGTGTAGGTAGGTAGGTAGGTAAGTAAACATTCTATTTTAAAAAGTTGAAATAAATTGCTCTGTTTGGTATCCATGGTCCATGTGAAATTACAAAGAACAAACTGATGAAAACTCTCCAGCAACTCTCTGGACTGATGACCCTAAAGATAGTTCAGCCATTGTATAGTGACCAACTTATTACAAGTTAATAGGGCAGATTGATTAATCATCTAAGTTATTCATTAACTTTTTTCAAACCTACTCAGTTCAATAGGCCACTGAATATAGAATACAACTCAGATATCAAAAATCCAGTTCAACTATCATTACATTGGTATAGTGAGTAATGTCCAAAACTGCTCAATTAATTAAATAAAATGTTATGTTATTGAAGACAGGCATATATGCTTTGCTCAGTGAGGGAAAATTTGCCAGGACAAGGATTAAGCCATCTTTTTTCCAATTTCTTACTATTTCATTTCTTTGTCCCATCCAAGAGACTGGACGCTTTTTCCATTTCAGCTACTCTGAACTTAACACTGACAAGGGGAAACCAGTTTGAAAATGCAATAGTATCATCTTAACCTGGAGCTGAATTGAACCTTTGACATCATGGTCAGCAAATAAGTTTTTAAACTCATTGAGAATGGCTTTTCAGCTATTCATGGCCCACACATATCCACTGCAGATCTGTCTTAGTATGTGTCAGTTATTATTTAATAAATAAAAAAAGCCAGTCAAATGATTGATGTTTCTGTTTCAAATTGCTCAGGGATTGCAGGAAGGCATGAGATTAGTTCTGATTGGTTATGATGCAGATCAAATGACCTTCATTAATATTAATTTCTGTCCAAACAGTCAAAAAGAGACCTTATACACAATAGAAACATGAAATTGTCATTTCTTACTGTGGACTTTTAAAATATTTTATTCTGCAAACTAGATATAAATTGTTTATATGTAGCCTACTCCAAGGATCATATTCAAACATATAGTTTCAAAACTTTATCACAAATCTATAATATATATAATACTGGAATGTAGGTGTACCAATCTGTGGATAAGATAACACATTATTCGTATGATTTATAATTTTATTCTATAATACAGTTTTAATATAATCAAGTATTCCCATTGATCTATCTGTTTTATATTAAATAATGCTCAGCATCCTTTCATTTCACAACATTCATTAAACTAAGTGATGAATTTTTCATGACTAGATTTTTCAAAACAAATGATTAATAGATATAACAAGAATAAGCAACGTCAAGGGAGTTTTAATCATTTTATTTCTTATCTTGAAAAAAAATTGAAATGCATAATTTAATGAAGCCACTTAATCTATACTTCCTACAACTAAATGTTATCTTTTCAGTTATGTATCATTAATTTCAGAGAATGGTTTTTAAACAATACATGCCAGACAAGGTAATACATGCTGACATACTGACTTTTCAGTTATGTATCATTATTTTCAGAGAATGGTTTTTAAACAATACATGCCAGACAAGGTAATACATGCTGACATACTGACTTTTCAGTTATGTATCATTATTTTCAGAGAATGTGTTTTTAAACAATACATGCCAGACAAGGTAATACATGCTGACATACTGACTTTTCAGTTATGTATCATTAATTTCAGAGAATGGTTTTTAAACAATACATGCCAGACAAGGTAATACATGCTGACATACTGACTTTTCAGTTATGTATCATAAATTTCAGAGAATAGTTTTTAAACAATACATGCCAGACATGCCAGACAAGGTAATACATGCTGACATACTGACTTTTCAGTTATGTATCATAAATTTCAGAGAATAGTTTTTAAACAATACATGCCAGACAAGCCAACACATGCTGACATACTGACTTTTCAGTTATGTATCATTAATTTCAGAGAATGGTTTTTAAACAATACATGCCAGACAAGGTAATACATGCTGACATACTGACTTTTCAGTTTTGTATCATTAATTTCAGAGAATGTGTTTTAAACAATACATGCCAGACAAGGTAATACATGCTGACATACTGACTTTTCAGTTTTGTAACATTATTTTCAGAGAATGTGTTTTTAAACAATACATGCCAGACAAGGTAATACATGCTGACATACTGACTTTTCAGTTATGTATCATTAATTTCAGAGAATGGTTTTTAAACAATACATGCCAGACAAGGTAATACATGCTGACATACTGACTTTTCAGTTATGTATCATAAATTTCAGAGAATAGTTTTTAAACAATACATGCCAGACAAGCCAACACATGCTGACATACTGACTTTTCAGTTATGTATCATTAATTTCAGAGAATGGTTTTTAAACAATACATGCCAGACAAGGTAATACATGCTGACATACTGACTTTTCAGTTTTGTATCATTAATTTCAGAGAATGTGTTTTAAACAATACATGCCAGACAAGGTAATACATGCTGACATACTGACTTTTCAGTTTTGTAACATTAATTTCAGAGAATGGTTTTTAAACAATACATGCCAGACAAGGTAACACATGCTGACATACTGACTTTTCAGTTATGTATCATTAATTTCAGAGAATGTGTTTTAAACACTACATGCCAGACAAGGTAACACATGCTGACATACTGACTTTTCAGTTTTGTATCATTAATTTCAGAGAATGGTTTTCAAACAATACATGCCAGACAAGCCAACACATGCTGACATACTGACTTTTCAGTTATGTATTATTAATTTCAGAGAATGGTTTTTAAACAATACATGCTGACATACATATTGTTATGGGTAACAAGAAATCTAATGATTTTACTACTAGTATCAAGATGTGGGAACACACTTTCTACAACTGTTTACAGTAAACCAACCCATAGTGATCAATATGTTCACAATACCTCCAACCATTCAATGACAGTAAAGGCAGGGATCTTTTCAACTCTAATAAGCCATTGTGCTATGACTGATTATGATACCAAGCAAGTACACTAATACATTATCTTATTGGCCAAGTCTCAAATTCAATTCAAATTTAATGTTCATTCAAGGAGGTAGTATTCCTTTAAAGATGTACAGCCTGTAGAACATAGAGCCTTTGTTTATTGTCCCAACCAAATGACTAAACCCTTGTCCACGTCAGTACCTCAGACCTGAATCACTGACAGGAAGAAAATGAGTTGAAAAATTTAAGATATCATCTGGGAGAGCCAAAGACTATACCATTTTGGGGAACAAGATGAATAATTATCATACTCTATCTATAGTTGAATTGTATAGAAGTTGGATTGTACCATCACGTAGTACAGTAGAGATGTTTGTTGTACTACAAGGAAGTTTCCAGGCTATGTACTAGGCTATCAGTCATTTGAGCTGCCCTGCCGGTCTTGTCCGGAAAATAAAGCCAAATCAACAGCCCTGCAACAGACTGGCTGCGATAGCTGTTCTCTTTCTGAAGAGACAATAATTTAAAGGCATATTGAAATATATTAAAATTCTTCTTTATTTTATTCAATATATCTGGTGTAAATACTGAATTGAAGAGTCTGCCCTAGAATTTTCTAGGCCTATCGAAATCGCGTCCAAGGAGAATAAAAATTTTGCAACTGTGATACCAAGCAGTTCTTACATCGTCATAAAATTCTTCAAATTAACCTCATCATTAAAGCTCACAACTCAGTGAAGTGGCCATTGAGAAAATCTTGTGAATTTTCTCCTAATAACCCTTTACACACTGTCATTATTCAGTAGTGGGTGGTATTTTCACTCATGTGAAATCAATGACAAACTTCTTCAAATACAAATTAACCCATAATAGCAATCACTGGAAGGCAAATACGTACATACTACAACGTCATTACACTAAGAATGTCCACTATTGTCAACGTAGGTAGAAGTTCCCAAGGGAAGAGTTTATTGACCAAATAGCCTAACCGCTGTTTGTTGAGGTAAATGAATTTCATAGTCTGGAAAACTTGCTCATGTAAGTTCATTAGCTACTGAATTAATTATTGGCTTGATGCTCAAGACATTTACAATTGTGATTAACGAGAGAATTGGTATACCTTCAGGTATATGTATATTTTTATGAGAACATCTAGAATTTGTAAAAAAATTCTACTGCATTAATAAATGGTAATGTTTAAAACTTATTAAATTGAGCATGCAGAAAATTTTGTCCTATTATTTTTATGTAGAAAAATAATGAATTTGCTGTAAAAGTATTAAAAACAAAACAGTAGGTAATAACAAGGTACTGAAAACAACACTCTTAAGATGTCATAAAATGTCATTATTATATTCAAAGATGAATCTAGAATCTCAGAAATTTTGTCAAATGTTTTTTTTAGCCATTGAAATAATGTCTTATTGTTGATGATCTAAAAAACATCACTGTTGGAAAGTTTTTAGGCATTGCAGTAATTCTTATACAAAATATCAGTGAATACAAAACTACTCTATTTTTTTAAAAATGTCATTAATATATCTAAGAATTTCAGAATCAGTAATACTTTGTATGTTTTTTTTTTATTCCAAAAAAGTGCCATAATAATCAAGACTTATTTAACAAACCAGTTAATGATTGTTCAGATAAATTGAAATAATAAAAGTTGAAAATGTTGTCATAATTACATTTCAAACATAAACCACAAGATAGCTGCAAGATAATTAACAAGTGTAACTATTTTAACATGTACTCATAGAACTCTGAGAGATAGTTATGGTGGGTGTAAATTAAGTTATAAACACACCTGCAGGCACTACCTTCCCTTGTCTAAAACATCTATTTTCAGTTCCTTACCTAACCTGATTAGTTTGTGTAAACACATTACCCATGATTCTTTAACTACTCAAATGATAAAATATTAATATAACATGATCTGCTTTGATTGAGGAATATGAAACAAAGATGGATTCTCTCTGTTTTTTAAAAGAAGATTCGAACCATCATTGGCCATGTATATTTCTATCAAAAAGTGCAGTGAAATTGTAAGAAACCAAAATGCAGAAAATTTGTATTCTATATGAACAATGTCAAGTTATTAAAATCGGTGTCTAATACCTTGAGTGCAATAGCCACCTTTCATCTTTTGTGATACAAGAAAGGTGGCTATTGCAGTCAAAGTATTTGACACAGTTCCTGAAGATGACTCATTGACAAGCCTTGAAACATTAGAAACTGCTCAAATTAGTAACAGTTTCAAAAAAATCATGCTGATGCAATATATATGTTGAGCTAGGAAGCTGCATTTGCCAAAACACTATGCTCAAACTACAGAAAGGCCACTCCATCGTAACATTATTTATATTTCGGTAAGTCAGTCAGTACTTTTTAAAAAAAAAAACATTACAATTACCCATCCCGCAATCTACAAATTCACATATTTTTTTAATACAAGAGCATACAACCAATCTGTCCAACTTGCTCAAATATGACTGAATCACTCAATAGTTCCGGTCACATGCTTGAAGATTTATTTTCATGAGGTAGATCATTTAAAAAGTACAAAAACAAGAAAGAATGGTGGGTAACTTTCACTTCCTATTTTGTATTCAGGAAAGTATCATCTTCAGTTGTGAAGGATCGCAAGCCATTGAAATGACTGTACCATCTAATATCAAGTAGCAAACTAATATTCCCTTCATTAAAGCCTAATAAACTTCCTCGAAGTCACCTATATTATTGTTTATTTGGCCAATCATTGAGAGTCATAAATGTGGAATATAGGTCAAAGTGCTCTAAAGAATCTGTTTACATTGATTGGGAATAGAGCAAACTTAACAAATAAATTTTGATGACATGTCACTTCAATCAATCTTCAAACCATGCTAAACTAACTGCAAACCACAAATATTAGATTGTAATAAACTAAGTTTTACATTCTTTACTATGATTATTCCACGGTATTTTTAGGAAAAAAGCTTTATCAAGGTCAATATTTCTTTTCAATGAATTGGTGACTAGAATGTCTGCTATCTGTAGGGTGGGATGGCAGATTCATTTCAATTTTAGGGCCTATGATCACAAAGTATCTGACCATTTATATAGCCATGCCCCCAAACTTATATCAATCGAAAACTGTCCTTGGCAGATAAGTATTGATGGGAACTCTAGTTTTAAGCTATTATATTTGATAATAATCATTAATAGATTTACAATAGAGAAAGATATATTAATGATATTATCCTCACTGATCAAAATACACTAATGACCTAATTACATCCATTTACCTACTAAGAAATACTTCCACATATCATCAGTAACCTACTAGTGAGAGAAAAAAAATGGACTCAACAGACATCAACTTCCTTTCTGTTAGTTATCTCATATGGACATACTTAGCTCAAGATTTGGAATAATAGGTTTGATAATAAAGCATGAAAATTGTGGGTCGGAACACTTTAACGCTGAGAAATTATTACCACCCACATCACTAGACCTTAAAGTGGACCATACAGATCACAACAGTTGCGAATAAGAATAGATATCATATAAAGTTTTGAACTCAACTCTAAAGCAACTGAGTTGTGAGTTGTGTTCAGAACTCATGTCCACTTTGATTATTCACAACCACACACAACTGGTAATCACAATTATGTGAGGTGTAAGGGCCAGACAGATATATGAATATGCTGATGAACAACCCTGTACACATATCTGAACTATTTCTTCCATAAACTTATATCCTAAATATATATAAATGTGATCTTCCAAAAGTTAAAATAATGTTGGTTTTTAACCTGATAGTCTGATGCAGCAAAGAAATACAGTAGGCCTTAACTGAACAGTACATTCAGAGCTGATAAAACATAACTTCAAGTATTCATAGCTTGCAATAGAAAATATGCCTGATGTATTTACAATGTGACAAACCGAGTCACAATGAACTCTTTTACAGTATGCGTAACTAACTAACTAGAATTACAATAAAGACAATCTACGTTTTAAATTCATGAATACAATAAATACATCTATAGTTACATCCTAAAATAAACATCTTAATCAAAACCATAATGCCATCTATTATCTATCTTTAATATAAAGCTACAAAATAGAAGTTGTACTAACCCATATCAATTGTTCATTATGCCAACCATTATGATATGACGGAAATATATAATGGTGTGATAATAGGAATTACTATATATGGTAAATATGAAATTGTGAATTGAAAACTAGCCCAAGCTCTACTAAAAGTTTTAATGAAGTTTGTCTTAATGAACTAATAGGTCTCCTCATTTCTTCTATTGACCAGACTCCTTTATAACATTTCCTAACATTTTCTAATGAATGGCAGATTAAAATAACCAATATACCAACCATTCATTAAACTCGGAATCCTGTCCACGCAATTCATTCACAAGGAGAGATAAAAATCTCAAGCAATTAGGAATCACTCCATCCAAGAAATTGGCATATAACAGCTTGACAGCTAATTTTAAAGGAAATTTGAAAAGAGACAAACATTCAGTAGTGAAATGTAATTATAGAAGTAAGGAAGAAGATCTAGATATCCTAGACGTTATCGACAAGATAATTCTTGCCTTACCTGGCCTATTTTTCATTTGACAAAGACTTTCATTTGACGTTAATTCCAGCTTAAATTTGGAGATAACTCTCTGAAATTCAATTTCCATCTGAAAATAGCATTGCAGAAGACATAGTAATTTGTGCTATTGTCTAAAAAAACCCATTAAAAGCAGCATCTCGTGTCAACATCGGACAATGTGTCTGATGGGGCTATAGCACTTCCTTGATATTGAATCAATATCATT